TCATATTTTGTCCTCAACATTTCCAAATGTCAACTGTTGGTCAATCAGCATTATCCAGACAGACTATCTAACCCTCAGGTCCGACTAACGATGAAAAAATAGCATAAAGTCATGATTGTAATACTACTATGTCCTCAGCAAACGATTTGTATGTTGTTGCAATAATGTAAGTAGATATTTTCATTCTGTCTAAAGCTACTAAAAATAAACTCTGATCACTTGGTCCAGAAAACAAATTAATCACAATCGCATTTTCGATAGAAATCCTTATTGTCCACAGTTTCCTACTTAATGGCAGTTATCTGAGCAACAGATAACTTAGCTGTTTGTAACCCTGAATGCATTTTGATACATATTTGGGTTAAACATGCTTTTACATCTTCCTTAGTAGCAGATAACAAAATCGCAAAATAGATACCTGAAATGAATATTATATTAAAATGGAATTCTGGAATAGAAGATCTTACAATTTTAAGATTGTTTTATATATACGAGTATACTCACCGTTTGGGTATCAAAAGAACAAGCCCTTGTTATGAGAAATAGTGCTAACTTTTAACCCAACATAATATCAAAATTATTGTTATAAATCAAAGGTTTAAGGGTGTAAGGTACATAGACGCAACTCCAATTTTGTCGTCAATACATTTTTCTTCAAGTTAGCCCTCTTTATAGCGCCATAGTCAAATAAATGCCAAACATTATCCAACTTTATTAACGCTTCAAAGCATGCTATAAAATTTGTTTGAGTTCCTGAACTAAAATGTATGACACACACACACTCAGATCACTGAGAGATCAATCTAAATTCTAGATTGTGTTTTATGAAGAAATTCAAGGCGTGACGAGAAAGCTAAATCAATGAAATTTGCATCTACTTTCTTCTTAAATTACAGTAGAGCCATTCCGCTTGATATTTATATGTGAATAATTGAATAAAATGTGAACATTATTGCTGTTTTTCATCCGCAAATGAGCATTATCCTAATCTTTGGAATAACCAGCAGCTGTGCTGGCGACAGAGCGTGAATTCCTTAAGCAGCTTGAATTCTGCTTAGAACTCCCTTCAAAGAAATAAAACTTATTATTGCATTATTAAAGAAGAAAAGGTCCTTTGATTGATGTTTGATTCTTGATTACCTTAATGTATTGACATATTGATTTATGTGGATCTTAGGAATATTATTTACTCTTTAGCTTCATTCAGGCTACCTTTGCATCATTTTCCATGGAAAGTGGTCATAATTATCTGAAGATACAGAGTAAATGCATTGCTTCCTATGTATATTTTGCATGCAAGTTGTATATTATATGTCATACAGATTAGAATGTTTATTTTCGAGTTTCTGTTTTAAGAATGACCCAGTAAAACTCAGGAAGTTATAAGCATTTCAAATCATCATTGTATGTAAGAAAATCAATGATTTAATTATTGTTTGGACATGGACTCATGGAAAATTGAAATAAGCTTATTCGAGGTAGACCTATACTTTTAAAAATGAATCAAAGAAGTGTCATTTACAGATATTGGATTGTTTTTAAACTTTAGCACCGTCTGTTACATTCCGACAAAATACGTTGCTTATGGGCTTGTGCTCGGACAGAAACGTATAAAATTGTTTGTTAACGGTGGGTGGCTGGAAGAGGGAGGTAGGGAGCGAGCGAGTGATGTTTAAATAGATTCATTTTAACGTTGATACAACATTTTGAAAGATGCGGAAAATTTTGCTAACGATAGTAGTGAAATTTAAAGTAGTTTTAAAATTGTATATTAAAAGGGACAAGTTAATACTAAATGAAGAGAACTCCTATTACAGACATGATATACCTGAAACGTTTTTGTAAACTACAGTATATATGAAATTCTATAATAACTAAGTTTTTAAATCGCTAAAGTACGATCATAATAATTTATATTAAATGCTGTTAGTGTATAGTGAGACGTGAGATGGATTTGGCATCATAGCATCTGATCATTTTTGAAAAATGCATTTTTATAACTTTCGCCAATTACTTTATTCATAGTGACTGTCATTTTTTAACTTCATGACTATATGCCAGTTCAAGGCTTTATGCCACTTGTCATGGGAATACAGAAAAAGTGGTAAAATAATAACGGTTTAATGATCACCGCCTTATAAATACATCAAAGGAAGTTTTTAATATGTGGTGGGGAGCTTGAGTGTTGAATATGCTGGTACTGGATGATTGGAGGGGTCTTGGACGGTTGATTGCATTAACCTATGTAGCCCATACTTATTTCCAGTACAACAGAGTCTACAATATGTATTTGCTGACCTTTCTGTCTATCATAAATGGAACTTACACATGAGACTTGTATAACAGAACAATATGGCATTTTAATTTGGTCAAGATTATATTGCATCAACTTCTTTGTTTTGTTTTGCGTCTTATTGTGTTGAATGTAAACAATAGTCATTTGTAAGGTAAGGGACGCAACTCTAATTTTATCTGAAATACACTCTTCTTCAAGTTAGCCTTCTTTATAGTGCCGTAGCCAAATAATTGCCAAGCGTTGTGACAAAGTCTATGTATATCAACGGTTTTGTTGTTGTTGTTGTTGTTTTTGTTAAGTAAAAAAGAAAACGAAACAAGAAACAAATCATCCTCCTAAAACAACAAAAGAAAAAAATCAAGAGCAGCAATACCATTAATCCGCAAAAATTTCTTAAACGACTTTCTTGCTCAATAACTTTTTTTGTAGTTCTTTAATCATTGACATTATTTTTGTTCATTTTTTGAAATAAAATTTAACAATAATTATGCGGAAATTTAAAGATTAAAAATTCTATAAAGAAAATCACTTTTCATTATTAAATGCAGTTAAAATCATTTAATTATTTATTTTAGGTTAATCATGAAACATGATCCATCACTTTCCACTTCGTATTCAGAGATTTGCCAGTATTGGTTTTGTATGATAAATCATGGCCGTTGTCAGTCTAAATATAAGCCCACGAACCCCCGACCCCTGGGTTAAGAGGCAGACAGATCAGAGACTCTTGTTAAATAACACAATGTCCCAAATTTATCTTGAACATGAGATTGACCTGCATCGATTAACCTGTTCATGCACAACGTAGCAATTACAAATACGAGATTATTTATTAACTATCAAAATATGACTGTACATGAGTTTAATACATTTATTGAGTTACACTACATTGTTTTTATTGTGGTTGGTCCACATAAAGTACTATGTATAGCTGCTTTATCTGAAATGCAAGGTTATCCAACATTATCCAGATTAATAGACAATATTAACAGATTAAAACAAAATAAAGAAGAAATTCAGAGAAAATATAGTCTTCTTTGACGTTTGTTTTTTGTATCAACTGACATATCGATCATTCAGACATGCATATCTGTTTTAAGTCGTTCATGCACTTCTTTACAAAATACTATAATCATATCGGTGTAAGGCTTTTGAACTAATCATAACGTAATATTATCAAAAAATTCAAGCTATACTTCGAAATAAAAATATAGATAAAATATAAATTTTGAAGGTCTTCTTACACACCAACATTGAAAATGTTTCAATATTGATTTGGTCTGGTTTTGGACGGTAATGGAAAATGAAGGAAACCGTACCTGCGCCTTCCCCAGCACCGGCTTTATCAAAATCATTTTACATATGAAATGGTGTTAGTTTAGCGGAACATTGGAATAACACTTTCCTTATTCGATGACCAAACCTATAGGATTGAGTATAGAAACAATAGACAGTATTAAATGATTTACGATAAAAATCAGATATTATAAATCCAAAGTAACACACACGCACACGCATACACGCACGCACATACACGCACCATGTTCAACTTCGCATACTGACACTTTTTAACGTAGGAACAAGATGAAATTAAGAGAATTAAAAGAAACTCAAAAAGACTGTCGCCTGATATCGGACACAACACATCTCTGATTAAATGCACCATACTGAAAGCATGAAATTAAAATCTTATGACTGTAAATGTCTGAGTATTTTAGTTTACTTGTAAACATGATGTCACGGTTCAGAACTGTTCACTATTTAGGGGAGAAGATGTGTAAGCGGCCAGATAGCTTAGTCGGTAGAGCCGCGGAACGGTATTCCGAAGGTCCCGGGTTCGAGTCCCGGTCAGGCTGCACATTTTTCTCACCCTGTGACATTGAGATTAGATTTCGTTGTAAAAAACTGAATGTGACATAAAATGTTATTGTTTTAAACAAATATTAAACCATGGAAGCAATGAAGTTCATTTGAAGAGATGAAATAATTCCTTTAAAACCGTGGTGAGTTGTTAAATTTGTCAAGTACTTCCTGATTACTCCAATGCGATTATTTCACGAAAGTGCATATTATCTAAAACGTAAGATATTTGATCCTCTCTAAAACGGAATCTTCATGTACTTATTTTAGGTTAATTTTATTGAATTCTCAAAGAAATAATTAGATTAACAAAATATCAATTACAACATTTGTGAAAGGTAACTTCAATATAGTCCAGTTGATATAGTTTCATGATTAAGGATTCGTTTAACTATCTATTAGTAAGTTTTTCATTTTGTATATTTATTATCCAGCAAGTCTTGTTTTGTGGTAAACGCATTTCAGAATATAGAAAACGCCACTTATATTTGAAGTAGGAAAGAAATGATTCAATGGCCGAACAGGCTTATCCACAGCCTGCAGTTATGACAACATATGTACGATGAACATAAATATTCGGATGCATTATCAATCAGAAATCCAAAATCACATTGCCAAACTCGTTATTTTTGCTATTTCTGTATCATATCAAGATGAATAAATAGCTTTATGTTAGTATTGAATTGTAAAAGGTTTAAATGCTTTAAATTCAAACCCAGCTATGAGTAAAAGAAAAAATACGATTTTTCAATTTAATTTTGAGAACATTTCTGTTTTTTTATATTCCGATTTACATTCCTCAGTTGATACTAGTAATAATTTCAGATTTTTTAGACCTTTTAACCACAATTTATTTCCTTTGAATAAATGCTGATGAAAATGTTTTAAAACTTTATGATGTGATTGCTTGTTTTTTCCAGGTAAACAAACACCAAAAATGCATAGATTCCACTTCCTTCTTGTTGTCCTGATAATCACAGGGGCAACTGCCAGTGTTGTTGAGGTATGTGATAAAATTAATATAACATTAGAACAAGAGGCTTTAACAGTCTGCGAAAAGTAAATTAACGCAAACGTGTCAAACATCAGATTATGATCTAAGCTATTTACTTTTGTACATCTTTAATAAGTTAGTTATACTTCACAATTTTCCCGCAATGAAATTTAAAAATCGTTTTTGTAATGTTTATTTTCTATGCCTGCAGTGTACTCATTCAAGTGAAGTAACGCCATTTGCGGCTTGTGCTGACCAAGTCGCACATTCTGTTCGGCATTAAAACGTTTCACTATAAGATAACCAACCATTTGAAATATATGCTTAAAAGTTAAAGAGTGAAATTACACAAGAAATTACATAAAAATATTTGACAAAGATAACTAATTTCGCGTTTGATGATTGATATAAATGCGATTGTTAATTGCTATAAATACTAGTATTGAAATTAAATATGAAAAGGTATCTTTGTTTTGACCAGATCAAGTTGTATTAAATCAAGTTATAAAACATTTGAGGGTACATGTTGAAAGATTTACACTTCAACTTTATCAGAAAATGACTTTGTGTCCATCCAAAGGTCTATAGTGAGTTAACAGGCAATATTCTAAATAACTCTTAAATTACATTTTGACATAATTCCTATTTATATTTAATTTCATAATTTATTTTGCATTAACGATTAATAACTCACGTGGCACATGGAAATTTCTGTAAATGTCTATCAGATTCACATGTAAACATTCAATTTATAAAAAGAGTGGCACAGTCAATTATTTTTATCTTAGGCAGATTCATATTTTGTCCTCAACATTTCCAAATGTCAACTGTTGGTCAATCAGCATTATCCAGACAGACTATCTAACCCTCAGGTCCGACTAACGATGAAAAAAGAGCATAAAGTCATGATTGTAATACTACTATGTCCTCAGCAAACGATTTGTATGTTGTTGCAATAATGTAGGTAGATATTTTCATTCTATCTAAAGCTACTTTAAAAAACCACTGGTCCAGAAAAACAAATTAATCACAATCGCATTTTCGATAGAAATCCTTATTGTCCACAGTTTGCTACTTAATGGCAGTTATCTGAGCAACAGATAACTTAGCTGTTTGTAACCCTGAATGCATTTTGATGCTTATACATCTTTGGGTTAAACATGCTTTTATATCTTCCTTAGTAGCACGTGACAAAATCGCAAAATAGATACCTGAAATGAATATTATATTAAAATGGAATTATCGAATAGAGGATCTTAAAATGTTTAGATTGTTTTTATATAAAAACCATTTGGGTATCTAAAGAACAAGCCCTTGTTATGAGAAATAGTGTTAACTTTTAACCCAAAATAATATCAAAATTATTGCTATAAATCAAAGGTTTAAGGTTGTAAGGTACATGGACGCAACTCCAATTTTGTCGTCAATACATTTTTCTTCAAGTTAGCCCTCTTTATAGCGCCATAGTCAAATAATTGCCAAACATTGATGAAAGACACATCCAACTTTATTAACGCTTCAAAGCATGCTATAAAATTTGTTTGAGTTCCTGAACTAAAATGTATGAAACACACACACTCAGATCACTGAGATTCTAGACGAGAAAGCTAAATCAATGAAATTTGCATTTACTTTCTTCTTAAATTACAGTAGAGCCATTCCGCTTGATATTTATATGTGAATAATTTAATAAAATGTGAACATTATTGCTGTTTTTCATCCGCAAATGAACATTATCCTAAGCTTTGGAATAACCAGCAGCTGTGCTGGCGACAGAGCGTGCATTCCTTAAGCAGCTTGAATTCTGCTTAGAACTCCCTTCAAAGAAATAAAACTTATTATTGCATTATTAAAGAAAAAAAGGTCCTTTGATTGATGTTTGATACTTGATTACCTTAATGTATTGACATATTGATTAATGTGGGTGTTAGGAATATTATTTTCTTTTTAGCTTCATTCTGGCTACCTTTGCATCATTTTCCATGGAAATTAGTCATAATTATCTGAAGATACAGAGTAAATGCATTGCTTCCTATGTATACTTTGCATGCAAGTTGTATAATATAATGTCATACAGATTAGAATGTTTATTTACGAGTTTCTGTTTTAAGAATTACCCAGTAAAACTCGGGAAGTTATAAGCATTTCAAATCGTCATTGTAATTTAAGAAAATCAATGATTTAATTATTGTTTGGACATGGTCTCATGAAAAATTGAAATAAGCTTATTCGAGATAGACCTATATCAAAGAAGTGTCATTTACAGATATTGGATTGTTTTTAAACTTCAGCACCGTCTGTTACATTCCGACAAAATACGTTGCTGATGGGCTTGTGCTCGGACAGAAACGTATAAAATTGTTTGTATCCGGTGGGTGGCCTGGTGAGGGAGGTAGGGAGCGAGCGAGCGAGTGATATTTAAATAGATTCATTTTAACGTTGATACAACATATTGAAAGATGCGGAAAAATTTGCTAACGATAGTAGAGAAATTTAAAGTAGTTTTAAAATTGTATATTAAAAGGGACAAGTTAATACTAAATGAAGAGAACTCCTATTACAGACATGATATACCTGAAACGTTTTTGTAAACTACAGTATATATGAATTTCTATAATAACAAAGTTTTTAAATCGATAAAGTACGATCATAATAATATATATTAAATGCTGTTAGTGTATATTGAGACGTGAGATGGATTTGGCATCATAGCATCTGATCATTTTTGAAAAATGCATTTTTATAACTTTCGCCAATTACTTTATTCATAGTCATTTTTTAACTTCATGACTATATGCCAGTTAAAGGCTATATGCCACTTGTCATTGGAATACAGAAAAAGTGGTTAAATAATAACGGTTTAATGAATACCGCCTTATCAATACATCAACGGAAGTTTTGAATATGTTGTGGGGAGCTTGAGTGTTGAATATGCTGGTACTGGATGATGAGAGGGGTCTTGGACGGTTGATTGCATTAACCTATGTAGCCCATACTTATTTCCAGTACAATAGGGTCTACAATATGTATTTGCTGACCTTTCTGTCTATCATAAATGGAATTTACACATGAGACTTGTATAACAGAACAATATTGCATTTTAATTTGGTCAAGATTATATTGCATCAACTTCTTTGTTTTGTTTTGCGTCTTAATAAATAGTCATTTGTAAGGTAAAGGGACGCAACTCTAATTTTATCTGAAATACACTCTTCTTCAAGTTAGCCCTCTTTATAGCGCCGTAGCCAAATAATTGCCAAGCGTTGTGACAAAGTCTATGTATATCAACGGTTTTGTTGATTTGTTGTTGTTGTTGTTTTTGTTAAGTAAAAAAGGAAACGAAACAAGAAACAAATCATCCTCCTAAAACAGCAAAAGAAAAAAATCAAGAGCAGCAATACCATTAATCCGCAAAAATTTCTTAAACGACTTTCTTGCTCAATAACATTTTTTGTAGTTCTTTAATCATTGACATTATTTTTGTTCATTTTATGAAATAAAATTTAACAATAATTATGCGGAAATTTAAAGATTAGAAACACTAAAATGCAAAAAACACTTTTCATTTTTAAATGCAGTTAAAAGTCATTTAATTATTTATTTCAGGTTAATCATGAAACATGATCTCAAATTTTTAGCCATCACTTTCCACTTCGTATTCAGAGATTTGTCAGTATTGGTTTTGTATGATAAATCATGGCCGTTGTCGGTCTAGACATAAACCCACGAACCCCCGTCCCCTGGGTTGAGAGACAGACAGTTCAGAGAGTCTTGTTAATTGACATAATGTCCCAAATTAATCTTGAACATGAGACCGATCTGCATCGATTTACCTGTTCATGCACAACGTAGCAAATACGAGATTATTTATTAACTATCAAAATATGTTTAATACATTTGTTGAGTTACACTACATTGGTCTACATAAAGCTACTATATATAGCTGCTTTGTTTGAAATGCAAGGTTATCCAACATTATACAGATTAATAGACAATATTAACAGATTAAAACAAAATAAAGAAGAAATTCACAGAAAATATAATCTTCCTTTACCTTCGTTTGTTGTATCAGCTAAAGAATATCGATCATTAAGACATGTAAGACATGCATACCTGTTTTACGTCGTACATTAACTTCTTTACAAAATACTATTATCATATCGGTGTAAGGCTTTTGTACTAATCATAACGTAATATTATCACGAATTTCAAGATATATTCAAAGTGATTAACTGCTGGTTAAGAAAATAGAGATTAGATAAATTATAAACTTTGAAGGTCTTCTTACGCAACAACATTGAAAATGTTGCAGGAATAATTTGGTCTGGCTTTGGACGGTAGTGGTTAATGTAAGAAATCGTATCTGCCCCTTGCACTGGCTTTATCAAAATCATTTTACATATGAAATGTGTAAGTTTAGACAGTAGTTACCACGGAACATTTTAATAACACTTTCCTCATTCAATGACCAACCTATAGGATGAGTGTAGAATAATAGATCCATATATTAAAATAATTTAAGAATGGACAGATATTATAGAATCCACACAAAAAACGCAAGCCCCACAAACGCATGCACGCAACGCAACGGCACACAACGCATTATCACTTGTTCAACTTCGCATACTGACACTTTTTAACGTAGGATTAAAAGAAACTTAACAAGACTGCCGTCTGATATCGGACAAAAAACATCTCTGATTTAATTCACCATACTGAAAAGAAGAAATTCAAAAATCTTATGACTGTAAATGTCTGAGTATTTTAGTTTACTTGTAAACATGAGATTAAATTTCGTTATAAAAAAACTGATTGTGACATAAAATGTAATTGTTTTAAACAAATATTAAACCATGGAAGCAATAAAGTTCATTTGAAGAGATTAAATAATTCATTTAAAACCGTGGTGAGTTGTTAAATTTGTCAAGTACTTCCTGATTACTCCAATGCGATTATTTCACGAAAGTTCATATTATTTAAAACGTAAGATTTTTGATCCTCTCTAAAACGGACTCTTCATGTACTTATTTACTTACTTTTATGTTAATTTTATTGAATTCTCAAAGAAATAATTAGATTAACAAAATGTCAATTTTCAAACATTTGTGAAAGGTAACTTCAATTATAGTTTAGTTGATATAGTTACATGATTAAGGATTTGTTTAACTATCTATTAGTCAGTTTTTCATTTTGTATATTTATTATCCAGCAAGTCTTGTTTTGTTGTAAACGCATTTCTGAATATAGAAAAACGCCACTTATATTTAAAGTAGGAAAGAAATGATTAAATGGCCGAACAGGCTTATCCACAGCCTGCAGTTATGACGACATATGTACGATGAACATAAATATTTGGATGCATTATCAATCAGAAATCCAAATCACATTGCCAAACACGTTGTTTTGCTCTTTATGTGTCAGATCAAGATGAATAAATAGCTTTATGTTAGTATTGATGTATTGATAATAAAAAATATCTTTGAATAATAATAATAATTATTATAAATATTAATATTGTAAATAATAATAATAATAATTATTATAATTAATAATAAGAATACCGTTCGTGGACGATATTGTACAATGCAAGCAACACCATCCAGGCCCTTTATCACTGGCTCTAGCAGAATTTAACATTTCACATTCGAAATGATTTTTTGAATGAAGAACCTTCCGGAGATTATTTCATAAGGCGGTGAACTATCTGTAAATACCCCGATGCCAACATCAGAGAAATCAAATAGATGACAATCAATACAGGGAGTTATTACGAACTGAACATATAATTTGTAGAACATAGTTATAACAAATAATCATCATGACGAATATACAGTGTTTACTAACTTAATGGTTGTTATTTTTAGCCTGTTCTCATATCAACGTTATTTCTGCGAAGCCATCGAAAACAGGGTGCAAAACTATAAAATTGTTAATCTTAATATGGTTTTAGAGACTGATAAAATTTAAACAAATATATTGTTTTATACTTTTATAGTTTTGTCCGGTGCAAAGTCCTTGTAAAATGCTTATGTACACACTTTTAAATTTATTTTTAGGCTTAATGAGCATTATGCACCCCTCTCTGGCTGTGTCTTAGGTAATAATCTCTCTTTTTATTACTATTTATTGAACAAAAAATGATCGAAACCATCTATTTATTTTCTGTGATTGGTTGTTTAAATTTAATTGTTCTGACAGAAACTATTACGTGTATCATCAAGTTTTAAGTATAAAAACCCATAGATAAGACCTATGTAGCAACTTAAGCCTTGGTTTGGTCTGGGGAAACGCTGTCCATCTTAGAAAAGTAAGCTGTTTATTTATTTTTCATTCTTTCGTTTTGTTGTTTTAAATGATTTGATTACAATTAAGTTATATAATGTATTATTAATGGTCTATTAATACTAAAATATATATATATATAAAGTTGGTATTGCATTTCAGGTGTTAAAGATTTTTGAAACTGAATACCTTAATATAGAACTCCATTATTGTTAAACATTGCTTAAAATGTTAAAGGTTTAAATGCTTTTAATTCAAACCCGTCTATGAGTAAAAAATAAATTACGATTCTTCAATTTAACTTTGAGAACATTTCTGGTTTTTTTATTATTATTCCGATTTACATTCCTCAGTTGATAATAGTTAGCAATAATTTCAGTTTTTAGGCATTTGAACCACAATTTATTTCCATCAAATAAATACTGATGAAAATGTTTTAAAACTTTATGATGTGATCGCTTGTTTTTCCAGGTAAACAAACACCAAACATGCATAGATTCAACTTCCTTCTTGTTGTCTTGATAATCACAGGGGCAACAGCCAGTGTTGTTGAGGTATATGATAAAATTGATATAACATAAGAACAAGAGGCTTTAACAGTCTGAGGAAAGTAAATTAACGCTATCGTTTCAATCATCCGATTATGATCTAAGCTATTTACTTTTGTACATTTTTAATTAGTTAGTTATACTACACAAATTTTCCCGCAATGAAATTTCAAAATCGTTTTTGTAATGTTAATTTTTTATGCCTGCATTGTACTCATTCAAGTGAAGTAACGCCATTTGCGACTTGTGCTGACCAAGTCGCACATTCTGTTCCGCATTAAAACTTTTCATTATAAGATAACCAACCATTTGAAATATATGCTTAAAAGTTAAAGAGTGAAATTATACAAGAAATTACATAAAAATATTTGACAAAGATAACTAATTTCGTTAAGTGTCATATATTTAAATGGATTAAAAAACAACATTTATTGGTCCTTTATTTATCATCAAAATTATAACAAATATTAAATAATAAATAATTATAACAAATATAACTATTTTGAATGACGGCGTTACGTGGTTCACTTTCCGGACTAGTGATTTAAAATTTGCTGGCCGCATGGGTTCACTCCCCGTCAGGGACAAGCAGAAACTTAACTATCATTACTTAGTACCAGGAACTGATTCGAGAGCGTTTCAATAAACTTTTAGCTTCCCAAACAATCGAACTAAAATAAACTGGTTTAAACTATATATTTACACTTATATCAAGTAAAGCTCATAGTTTTCTTCGTTGCACGGAAGCCAATTTGGGTTGAAATTCAGTCACGTGTTTTGCTGTTAATGGTTTGAAATAATGCAATTACTTCATGATAAAATATGATAAATTTAAATTATTTTATTTTATAAAGAAAGAGACCCAGCAAATAACAGATGAAACAGGGCACGTGCTGACACTGAACATCACTCATAGAGAAAGTGAAGAGGACATTGATGTCCATAATGAAAACGGAAACCATATCATGACAATTGATATGATGGAGAAGGAGGTATGTTTGATTTAAGTACTTGTGTCTGTTTAAAGGCCTCAAAAATGAATAAATTTTTTACTTCTTTAGAAAGAAAGGTTACCAGCTGAAACTAAAACCGCTAAATGCAAACAGTAGCAAAATGTAAACAAAGTAGTACTTCAACTTTAATACAAAATACTAAATCACTGTGACTGTACTATCTGCCTTAAAGCAACAAAGGCTAATCAGTCAACCTATAAACATATTTCATATAGCAGATAATAAATTGTTCTAGAACAAAATATTATTATTCATTATATAAATGTCTATATATTTTAAGTCATTTTGAACTATATCAACATTTTTCTTCAAGAATTATTCCACGAGAATATCCAAATTATACATTTCTATTATTTTCATTTGAAACTAATGAAAAACGTTTTCACAGTAGACCAATCCTCTTTCATAAAATCTTATTGCGATGCCATATTTATGACAGTAACGCTCCATAGTGAAATTGTTATTTACTTGTATTCTAAAATTGTCATTATGATGGCAAAATTGTCACTATAGTGGACATTTTCTGCGATTTATTTTTAGACTTTTTTATTTACAATACTAAAATGTATGAATTAAAGAGTGGTGGTTGGAAATAGCTTTTCTTTGTATAATGAATACAGAATTTTAATTAAAAAACATATCATATTAATAATTTATAAATTTGAAGTGTTCAAAAATATTGCATAAATACTGCAAAGTTAAAAAAGAAGTCTTATCGAAACTATAAATAGATTAAACTTTAATCTGCTGGAACGAAAACAGATAGGCATTTGCCACCAATGAAGAGCCATTCATGTCTGGACACATTCTGCCATTTTTAGTGGTTCAATATTTGTAATATTCATCTTTTCAAATTGACTGTTTCTCGTGTTAAACAGTGCAAATTATGCAGATCATTGTTTAAAGGATACGCATTTTTTCTTCTTTTCAGGGGTACCAAATTGATAAGCCAGCAAATGAAAGTGTCTGCTTGTTATCAAAGATGGAAGAAGTTGAAACAGTTGAGAAAGATTCGGACAGTACAGATAAAGAGGTGGGTAAAAGCATCACTGAACATTTTCTTTTATAAAGTCTTTTTCCATATTTTGGATAAACCCAAACGAGCGAGCTTTTCTCACAATGAAAAGAAAACTTAATGCTTAGAAGATTGAATGCTTCTTAATCTGGCTTTAGATGTCGTTTATCAATGAGTAAACTCAAGCGACTTTATTCAATGTTAATTTCTGTGAATATTATTCAGCCGTTTCTCTGTTTCAAACCCGATACATGTATATAATTTATCTTGCCATACTGCATGTATGTGTTTGTATTTTGGGTCTATTTTATTGTTTCTTTGTAGATATTTCTTCATTTTTGTCTTTGATTTCAGATCGAAATTAATTCTTTATGTTATGACCGAGTTCTATGTACTCAGTCAAACGTTTCTCAAGAAATACAAGAGCATTGCTCTGGAAGAGATATGTATGTTCTCGTTCCCAGAACATGCAGTGGAGAAGAAGCCAATACTCTTGAACCCGAAACCGAAGGTACGAATTGTTTACAAAAATAGTTTAAATGTTACTGGTCGGAGCTTGGAATTTTATACCGAAACGCAAAAGTAATGCTTTTTATGGAGCCAACTCTTACAATATTTGTAGGGGCGTCCGTGGACGAGTTGTTACGGTCGTTGACTTCAAACCGCTGTGGGTTCAGGTCGCGCAAGCGTCTCCGGATTCTTTAATGCGGAAATGATATCTAGCTAGCTTACGGAATGTCGGTGTTTCTACTCAGGTGCCCGTTTGAGTCTGAGGTCTTCTTCCACCAGTAGAGCTGAAGAGTCGCCATATGACTCATACTGTGTTTGTTCGGCCCAATCAAAAAAATGAAAGTAATAATTGTATACATTGCACGTTATATCTTAACATTATCAGCTATAATTTATTCAACAATGTAAAGGGTTGTCAGGGAAAAGTTTTTTTAAGCTATAAATTTCCTAAACTATGATAAATACCAAGTTGAAAAGAGCTACCGACTACAACAATCACAGGGGTATTCAACATTATGAAGAGCGTTAGTACTATTATATAATCTAAGTTACATGCTCTTTGTTGAATGTTTTCGTCGAACATGACTTGAATGTTTGTTTCAATACAATAGTAAAGGTAGATAGATATCAATGCACATCGCTTTTTCTTTAATTATTTCAATGATTTGAAAAGAAACATGAAAATTTGACAGTATTTTAATATACCATTTTCACAATTTGAAGAACGTTAATAAACAACCAATAGTTACCTTGTGTGTGCATTTTTCTTGTTTATTCAACCTAATCACCTGAACAGTGACTAAAAAGTGTTCAAAAGCCAAATTAAATACACATTGCTACATAATACACCGGGAAATTTTTCTCGATCCTCAGTACTTTTGATGATACATTTATTTATTATCATAATCAGATAATTTTTTATGTTTATTTTCAGATGGAGGTATAGTTAAGAGAGGTTTAGGAAGGTGGTCGTGCCGCTGGAAATATTACTACACATTAAGATATTGTAAGGTCAGATACTGTTGTTGGTGGTGTAGGCGATCATGTTACAAATACACACTATGTTGGGTCAAGGTGATCTATTTCAAATGCGGATATAACTACTACGGATAAATACAATTAGAACCTGACGCTAAACCAAATTTCTTTTTTTAATACATACAAAATATAATATTAATTAATCTGCTGAAGCGTTTCTCTACTCATATTGAAAATGACAATGTCTGTTTCATTACAAACCATGCTTGATCAAAGAAATCTAGTTCTGTCAAAACAGATGATTATCTAACAAAACATATTTTTCTTTAACATCTCATTTTGAGATTTAAAAAAAGACAAACCCAAATGCTTTGTGTTTTTCTTCTTCAATATTTCCAATGTCAAGGTGGTTGATAAATTTAAAACATATGCGTTTCTTATTACAGTTCCACGTTAGCATAGCCTCTTTCCGGTACTTGGTCTTTTTGACATATGCTCATTTCAAATGTAGAAAAAACTTTTTTTACTCTACTTTTATTATATACATGTATATAAACATTCATGTGAACAAATTCATAAGGAATAGATATTGCCATAGATGGCTGTTCATTGTTCGGGTTTTCTTTCCAATCATTTTAGATGATAGTGTTGTATCTGAACTTCTTAATATTGTTCGAAATACATGATTCCATGCAAATATGAAATAGTAGCATTTGATAGAGGTATCCTTATCAATAATTGGAATTAGGCCCATAAAAGTACCGTTTTCCTACAAATGCACTGCAGTTTTCATTTTATAGCACAGGATATGCTTCGCTTTCGATTTGAGTATTTTAAATTGTTTATCAAACTAACTGTTCAATGATGTCATTGCTTTTTTTTTCTTATTATGCTTACGCTTGATTTTCATTTTTCATCCTCAAAATTATTTTCCGTGTATGTGTGCTGCATCAAGTCTCAAATAAAATTCATTCTTACAGCGTTGTTTTGTTTATTTGTTTTCATCCTCATAGAAAATGTTTCATTGACAGTACTTCCTAGTTTCACTTGTACTGATATTTTAAGAACAAAGTGGCCCCGACTTTTTGGATCTAAATGTAATTAAGTAGTTAATACAATTATTCCTTTTTAATTCAAAGTACATAAATACATGTATTTTATGTTCCTATTCACATATTCTACACCAGTGAATACAGGAAAGTTTATGTGCTGTTATCAAATGACTGTGAAAGACAATGTCTCCTGATCAAAATGAAAACTTCGGACGCTTTTAGTGGGTTTTAAAAGTCCATGTGTATGATATCGATTAAAACATGATAGTTATTTACACTTTGTATAAAACATAGGACTGAATCGCCTAAGCTAAAATTATGCATATTTTGTTAATGCTTGACTATTTTAATTTGTCTATCTTGACAAAAAGTACACTGTTTGTTTCTATTTTTTTGTATTTAAATATGCTTATGCTCTGAGTGCATTGTACATTTCGTTAGTTCTTCCCTCTCCAGTGTTTAAAAGTATGATAAAGTACATTTAAAATCTTATGAAACTATTTTGTCTTTTTATAAAGATACTAGGTAGGGACAAGTTAATAAGCATTCACATATTTAACTGCATAGTTTTAAACGTAATGTGCCAATGACGTACGTAAGGTTGCTTTAACGGCCATTGGTTAACTCAAGGCCCTTCGTGCAAATCTTTGGTAGATTTAGTTTTTAATTGGTATAGAAGATCTGTAACAATATATAATTTTCATAGATAATTTATTATACTCTAGAACTATATTTTTACATAGTGAATTCAGTGGCGGAATGGAAGTACGCATTAACGTTTCCTAAACATAAAAATATGTCCAATGTGCATACCGTATTGTGTTAGATAATATTTAAGACACAATGTTATATATCTAGGATTTACATTCTTAAAAACAAGTAATGGTATTTTCATGTCATTTATAATCACACATTTTCCATGTTTTATATGTTTTACACTTTAAACTGTTTCTCATCAAGTAGATAGTAATTCCTATATTTCTTATGTTATTTGAATAAAAAATTCTAATCAATCCATAGGTGAATCATGTTTGACCTCTGCAATCCTTGGCATTGTGTAAGGTATGAAAATAACAAATCCAGCTACTAGCCCGCCCATTGCTAAAAATGGCCAGCTGAAAAAGAAAATAACAACGCCTATCTGTATAACATATTGAAGAACTATCTGAAACAATGTTTACAAGAATACAAGAATACATTTAAAAGTGCATAATAAATTGCTGAAGAATTCGTGTCAAATCGTTCAACAATGATTCTATTTTTGTTGAAAAGCCGACACTCAGGTAAAGTGGCAAATCAATCTTGCCCATTAACATTGACTCTATTATTTCAAGTTAATTTGTTAAAATTACTTCAAACGTTTTTTTTGTGTTTTTTTTTTCTTACAAAAATCAACAATTTGTTTAACTTCCACGAATAACGGTATTTTAATACTTCTTCTAATGCCTACGTTAAAACCGGTTTGATTGCATGGCTAAAAATATCTTTCTCGGGAAATCCGAGTTATAAAGAAGGTAAATCATATACGGTCGTCATCAGATTTACATAAAAGAAATAAGTAGATCTGAACTTTAATCAGATTGGTCCGTGAGTCTACTTGTACTTTATATCGCTATAAACTTAGACAACTTACCCACAAGTTACACAGAGGTAACGATACTTTAAATCTGAAGAATATTTAAGGTGCATGCTCTGTCAGAAAAAGGAAAAGATGGTTTTATAAAATTGTATTTATTTATACATGAATATTATTTAAATGAATAACCATAACCATAACCAAGGGGCCACTGGTTCGATCCTCGAACAAGGCGTTATTCTCCGTTAAAATTGATCTCGGATATTGAGTGTTATGGTCATTTGTCTCTCACCGCTTATTCAAAAATTATGTTGGGTTTGTAGTTGGTCACTTGCGGAGACATGGTCACTTTCGGAGACACTGATAATTACATACTTGTTAATCAGAAAAGTAAGTGAGGTGGATCGACCGTCGAGAAATGACCAAATGCGTGCGTTAAAATTGGCGTAAAAACATGAAAATAAGCAAACAAACTATAGCATGAACGCCTCCTGTCCATACGTCATCTGGGAGTGGTAGACACTTTGTCTTTTATCGTTACAGCAGTATCGTGTACCATCAGAGTCGTTAATACAACAGTATACGTCAGACTTGCCGACAAGACGGAGTGCTTCGGGGCAGTTGAACCCAGCCCTTGTAACATTAGAGCTATCTCTGTAGGTCGGGCAGTATTCACACAACACTGAATAGATATAGCAATAAATTTGAAATGTGATATCGGTATAACATATTAAATTTTACCATGATTTAAAATTAAATCAATTCGTTAAAAATGACTAAATTAAAATAAATATAAAATGTGGCGCAATGATATAAGATTGCGTAAAAGAATACCGTATATATGCCCATACAAGAATAAATAAGATAATATATTAAACAACTTGCAAAATAATATTATGTAGATTTGAACAATTTAAAGGGACTTAACCGAAATTATTTGACAGGATAGGTAATAATTGTCGAGATTAAATGTTCCATTTGATGTAATTAAAGACCAACAACTTTAGTGCAAAATTTCAGCTTACAAAGTTGCAACACTTTTCTCTCTTATCGGACTAAGGAGAGCATAAAAATACGATTTTCAAGTTATTTCTGAGTATGTTTCTTACTTATCTGTTACATAAAAAGCTTGGAGTAGACTTGTATAGCAAGCAACCATTGTTGAATATTTTACAGTGCTGGTCTTTTATTTATTCGAATGTTAAATGTTAATATAAGATAAAACATGATTTCGTTTTGCATTTGAACTTTGTATTAAAATAAAAGAAATAGTATCACCAACTTAAACAATGAATAAGAAATAGAGAATACTGTAATATTAATTCATAATCGTACAAACCGGAGTAACACAGAAATTGTCCGAGCATCAGCTTCATTAATATATCCATTTTCTTTCGTCCTCTAATTAAACGTAGATTCCCTTTTCAACATTTCGCTTTTTGTGATTAAAAGAATTGGTCTGAATACAAAATAAATATTTCATAAAGTTCTTGTAAATAATTCATTACTTTTGAATTCTGTTTTATTGTTTGTCACAATTAACTATCATCGATTTCTAGATCATTTTACCTTTTAAATCGCTTAGCTCTTTTATTATATGAATCTGAAAGAAACAGATAATTAATAATCGTGAACGAAAATTATGTTTATAAAGGCTATACAAAAAGAAATCTTTTCTGAATCAATTTTAAAGGCGTGTGTTTAAAGGGCCCATTAAGCCTTAAATTGATATTACTTTTATTTCTCGCAATAATACTGTTATAATTTCCAAACAGTTACTCATTAGCCATGTGATTGAGCCATCGTTCTTCTGCATTTTCGAATGAAGAAAAGTTATAATAATTATTAATTATTTTGTATGTAAGTCAATATACTACTTTGCTTCTTTTATGGCGATTAATTTCAAATGCAGTGCTATCTACAGAAAACTGTTGTTTTTTTTGTTTTTAATATCTTAAAGTACCTTTATCTTTGACAAGATATTACGTAGAACATTGGAAATCTGTTTAGGCAAGAACATTTGTTAGTTTCTATGTCCTGCTGAAGGGTAAATTCGTATTGTGCCTCAAAATGCTTTTATTTTATTTCTCAAATGTTGCCTTTACTTCTCGTGTCCTGTTATATTTAATTTACAAAAGTTACCAATTGGTCAATTACCAAAACCATCTTTAGCATATGCTGCTTTTCAGCAATTAAGTAAGTTATATTGAATTTGTTTTTGTTGTTTTAGTATGGAAGTTAAAATACGTCTTTGTTTTACATTTCGGTAACTTTCATGAACTCAGCACTTCTTTTTTCATTTGATAAACAAGTTACAAGCTCTAAAACCATTATTGAAACATTTCAAAACGCATGTCTGCCATTTTTTAAAGAAAAACTAAGTTTCGGAGGCATAGTGTGCCTTTAAATTCGAGCACTGTCCTACTCAATACTCATTTTAACTTAAAAGTCTTTGTTTCATTGAAAAAGAGCATTTACAGCTTACGAAAAGGTTAGAAATAGAAGACTTTTTAACTTAAAAAATGTATTTGGTAACCAAAGACATAAAATACAAATATGGCTTTGAGCAAAACCTTATTTGCGGACAACGAATGTTCTTTGATCATTTTAAACTATATAAGTCTAAACTTATCTATTAATAATATATTTTACTTATCAAATGGATATAGCTTTAACTGCAAAACATGCAAAAAATAAAAATAAATATATAGTGGCATATTTCTGCCTTCATATAACCATATAACTTACTAGTTAATTAAGAGGTTAACTAGTTACGTAAATAGTTAACCTCTTTATTAACTAGTTAGTTATATGGTTATCTGGTGGCATAAATATGCCACCATATAAATAGTGAAATAATGGCGCGGACACTAGTACATCTATATACTTTTTCGAACAAAAACACTTACACGCGCACGCGCGCATGCACGAACACACGCGCACGTACAACAAAACATATATATAGATATAAATTGATAATATTATGGCCTTAATTTGAACCAAAGGTTACATAAGCAACTTGTCATTCGCGTGCTTCTGGATATTCTCAAAATTGATATGATACTTACTCTTAAGTACGTTGTTATTGTTAAGTGTTTTAATTTAATATATTAATTTGATTTCACTCTCTGAAGGAAACATTGGGAATTATTATTTGTATTAGCAACATATAATGTATATAGTAATGCTACGCATTGTTTTGTTTTTTGAATTTGAGTATCATAATCATTTTCGGCCGACTGAAACTGAGTTAAAAGACACAAAGTTACTATAATTTGAAAATAAATATTTGAAAAGGCATCATTTTATAAACATATTTAATTAAAAAGAATTATTTGTTAACAAAGGTTGCATTGTAAGGGGAATAACCAAACATGTGTTTTTAAATTGATTGTCACATAGTTGTCCCCCATGAATTGCCGAATAAAGAATACATGCATGGTTGTATTAATTGGTAATTTATAACTTATTTTTGTAATAATGTGTTCTTTTCAGATTTGTACATATTACAGTAGTTCGTTCTGTATATTAGGTATATATAGGGGTATATTATGGAGTATGATAATATTGCATTTGTTAGATTCTTCTTATGTGGTATATTTTATAAAAGTCTTAGAATTTTACAACAGACTTGTTACAATTTAAACTTAAGTAATTTTGGTAAGGTATAAAAACAAACGCATCAAATGAAGTCACATTTTCAGCAAAATGAGAAAACCTCAAAGATACAGTAATTGCTCTCAGAAAAAGGTTTAATACATCAAAAATTCTTCTTTTGTTTGTATTTACGACTTTATTACACAATGCAACATTTAGCCTTTTTTAAGCAACTTAATTTACATATGGGCAAAGATCACTTGACTATCCGTTGCATCTAACCATGATCTGCAGTTTGCTATTCAGTCAAAATTTATGTTGAAATTTTCCCATAATGATAAATGGCTTTGCCCAGATTAAAATATGGACAAGTCCATTAAATATTTTAAGTGTGGTATAGGTTAATTGAAAGATAACAAGACCTACTTTTAACATCTGACCTACTTTGGTGGTCACAGAAAGTAGTTCTTTGAGTCACAGAAAAACGAGATACAGGAGATAAAAAGGACAGGAAGCCTATTATCTGTGACACTTTTAAGAACAGTAATAACAAAGATTGGCATGGCTGTAGTTTGTTTTGTATTGGTTTTAATCTGCACATACGTGTGCCAGAATTCAGCTTTAAGATTGGAATCGAAAGGTAAGAAGTTTTTTAACCGTATTATTTGCTTGTTATCATTGTTAAGATGTTTTTATTGTATAGGCCAATATGTTATACCATACGTACACCGTGAATCGCAGAAACAAATGCCATATATGTTGACGATTTTGACATAAAGTTGGGTTCATAAATTGAAATTTATTATATGGCATAATTTACGTTTAATTACAACATTTAATGCTAGAAGAAAAGGTAAATCATGTCTGTTTATAACAGAATGAATACATGCCTAATCTCACATGTGTGTTCTTTTTTTTCAGAGCGTCGTCATTTGGAAAGTCCACTCTTCCATGATTGTCCAAAAGGATTTTCTAGGTTTGGTAACTCATGCTTTCACGCTGCGCATGATCTCGCCAACTGGCCTGAAGCTGTTGTAAGTGGGTTTTCATATCATACATAGCATACACAAACACACCATCATGGTCTGGTAACGCGCTCTTTATTTGGTTGAGGGTGGCCGAGTACGACAATGTGTATGATCAAACGTCTAGCGTCAACAATGATTACTAGCCTCAGCAGTTCAAATAATATTATTTTAAGTATCTTTAAGTGGACTGGTCTACAATGGGCATATTTATCATAAATATTTCAAATATTGATATAAACAATTGAAATATATCATTTGGATATTTTGAAAAAAAAAATTTCTGAAAAACAAAATGTAGATATAGTTCTAAAGTGATATAGTATGAACATATATATGATTCATAATACTATTTTGTTCTAAAACACTCTATCTGCCATATATTGATATGTCATCCGAATATAGTTTTGTCGTGGTTTAACTGAATACTCTCAATATTTTATAATTATATTATTAATGGTATTACAGATCTTCTTTTATAGACCAATTCACTTTAAAGTTAGAAACGTATCGAGACAAAATTGAATCATTGACAAATGGGTTGACCGTCACTGTTGTTATTATCTATTACATATATTTTTATGTTTCATCTGATTTTTTTGCTAACTGGAGATATCTCAAATTGCTTATTGCATACCTCGAAATATAGTTAAAATATGTCAAACACTTATTTGAGCGTAAATTTTGTAATCATACTCTCTTCTATATGCAGGTATACTGCCAAGTATATGGTTCCCATTTAGCATTTATAGAATCTGAAGCCGAGAGCCAGTTTGTGACAGCTTATCTCAAGAATTTTAGCGGTAAAGTATTTTCTTAAGAAATCCATCAGGACGTTCGAAGTATAAAGAAAGTATGAAAATACGTATTTGTCAGCAAATCGGCATTTTAATAATACAATGCTAAAGACAAAATATGGCTTTGTATACTAACCCACACTTCTTGTACATTTGAGCTGATATAACCTATATCATAACAAGTCAAGCACGAGTTACTATTGACTTTGCATCTCTATCAAATCAAGTCACGACTTCTTGAATCCAGTTTCTTACAACCCTTAAATTATTTCAGCTTCCGCCACAGACAAAGACCATTACTACTGGATCGGCGGAACTGATGCCGTCTCGGAGGGCAGTTGGTACTGGATTAACGTTGTCAAACCAATAACCGTTTGTATAACAATTCCTTGGAATGAATGAATGAATGAATGAATGAATGAATGAAGCTACATTCTTTCACCGCAGAATTATAGTTTGTACGGAAGGAACTTCATAATGATTAATGAAAATTGATCTATTTGATTATTTATATTTTTAACATGTACAATCTACCAATTTGCACAATGTTTATTGCAGTACACCAACTGGGGAGCTGGTGAACCTGATAACAGCCCCGCCATGTCATCTCATCACCAGGACTGCTTGGCTATTTTCGAATCCTCCGGTAAATGGGATGACGGATGGTGTGAAACACGACATAACTTCCTCTGTGAAATAGAGTAAGTAAATTACACATCTACTTCCGAATGGCACTGCATATTAACACATATTTATTCAAGCACGATTAATAAGCATTGATTTCAAATTAAACTCTATTCCTCTTTAGACCGTTTAAAGAACTTACTATATATGTTGCCATTGAAGCAAATAAACAAAAATGTGCATTTTCTCGATTCCCTAGCAGTATATTCGCACTTCTGAGATACTCTAACACATAGTTAACTTTTCTTTTAGTTAGATATGACTAATTCAAAACAGTTAAGTTACTTTATAAAGTACTTGCGGAAATATCATTTAATGATTATGTTCAAACGAGAAAAAAAAACATGCTTTCAAATACAAACGAGCATATTGTTGATTTTCTGTTATGTAATTATCTCACTTTGATTTTGGAATTTTAATGTCAAAATATCTCACTTTAATGTCAAAATTCTACATCTTGTGTGAAAAATGTTAAAATATATCTTATTGCGATTTTTTGACATTGGTACACAATGTGTATTGTTATTTGTCGTAATTTACATTTCAGTCTGGATGTGGAAGAAATTGTTGGTTAAAAACTCTCTTTGTATATATAAAATATATCCAAGTCTCGAAGAAAACAATGAAATAACTTGTTTTTGAAATAAAATTGTAGAATAAATGTTAAAGTTGCAATATTGTTATAAAACCCTCGAAGTTGAAATAAATAAAGAAGACGTACACCAACGTTTTAAATTAAGTGCATTTTTGCTACGATGGTACTATCTTGGTTTTAAGACGTCAATTCAACCGCTCATAATGTTATAACCATTTGAGCATTACTTTTTCAAAGAAAGCGGAGGTATTGACATAAAGTCGGCGTTGGATAATCATTTTGTAAAATTTTTCTTTAAAGTATGGTGGCTGATTTGTGCCTTTCATGTTTTTGCCCAGCGACCCCGCCAAGCGAAAAGTCGAGAACAATTTAAAATGGCGGGGGCTCAGATCAAAAACACGCAAATTAGAGAGGGCATGGGGCAAAGTTTAATAAATAAAACTTCGTCCCGCGTCCCCGGTAATTAGCGTGTTTTCGCCCCGCGACCCCGCCAAGCCAAAACTCGAGAATTAACAAGTTAGATGGCATGGGCTCAGAGCGCTGGGTGTAGTTAAATAAATAAAACGTCGCCCCGCGGGGCTCGGAGCGAAATTTAAGAAATAAACGTCGCCCCGCGGGCTGAAAACACAAATGGCACAAATTAACCAACATATGAAGACCCTGTTTTTCTGAAAACGTTTGCGCCTCATATTATTTGGTATATACATATCAAAGCATGTATCAAGGCAGGTAATTTTGCAAAGCAGTTAGGTATAATTATAATCCCATTTCTACTTTGCATCTTACACTGGGAAAAGAGCGGCAATTTTTTTAGTCCTATAAATCTACATTGTCAGTGAACCTTTTGTCTCTTATAAAATAATATTTTATAAATATAACACGATAATGCTATCATCTTATTGAAACTTTTCATTATATAAAATATGTAATTAAGAATCTTTTAAGAAGGTGAATTGCATCACTTCTATCAGAGATTTCTAATATATTCTATCAGAATGCATGCACGATCCGACCTTTTTGCTCAGTTGCATGTCAATGTACGTCAACATGGGAAATTTTCCATTTTTTTAAGAAGAAAAAAGACGACATCGTATTCAACCGCAGAACCATATTAACTGCATAATGAATGTATTGAGGATTTTGGTGGGAAAAATGCAGTAGGAAATGTCAAAGACCTTTGAATAAAGCAACAAATACGGCCAAGAATAGTGTATTACACTGCTTTTCAATAAACAATTAATACTTCTCGGCTCTTCTTACATACTCTGTAAATCATTTCTTCCAGTGATATAAGAACTTTGATTCTAGAGGATGCTTTTTTTATGTATGCTCTCTGCTGATTGGGCGTCAGACTGCGGACCATTTTTAATATCTCTGCATAGCTGGAATTCCTTGAACAAGCGTTAAATAGTAACTGACGGCGATGAAGACGCCAATGTAACCGCAACCATATTTGGTACGCTTCTTGTAGCATACAATTTACGTAACCAGTATTTTACTTTTTAAGTGCATTACACATGTTAAGCATTGTAATTCATGACTTGAAAAAAGGCAATGGGGTACTTAACCTTTTAATATCATCTAAAATAACAAGTTTCAAAATATTGAAAGAAACACAACAAATTTATTAGAAAAGTGATAGGGTATACGGACATAACATTTGAATAGTGTATGAAATCTGATAAAGAAATAGTTATATTTTCCTGCTTCAAATTTAAAATGCATTTCAATTCATGTGTAAAGTTATATGTTCTTTTACAACACAATAAAGGCAAATAAAATTATGTCTACTTCTGTTTTTGTGAAAGTTAATGGTTTATCGTCTGCAAATAAAGTTTAACTATTGTCGGTTGTACGTAAAATTGTCTATAATTGTTTATTATAAGAGTTTTATGTTTCATGTTCTTATATATTGATTTACACAATCGGAAGGAAAAAAATAATACTTCCATTCTGAGTCAATCAACAGTCTATATAAAACATAACTTTTAACATATAAATTTAAACGTCGACTTTACGTTTCTTTACAATAGAATACATTCTATTTCATTAATTAACGATTTTAATAGTTTTCAAGGTGATTTATTTTCAATTAACATGACATTTTAAAGATTCCAAGACATTTAGAATCTACTCGAATTTAAAGTCATTATTAATTTAGTATTTTGTCTAACACAAGAAAATAACTATCTTAAAGTTAACAAAATTTAATAACATGAATTTTGTTTGCCACATGGTGTATTTAAAGGACTCGTGTAGTCATATTATTTCAACTAAGTTAAAGCGCGAGATGATGATTTTTATGATAAACTTGTAATGTTTCGTTTCGTTAGATAAAAACACTAAGGAGTTAAAAATCTTTATATGAAATCTCGTAAAACAAGTCCGTTCATAATATAGTCTAGGTGCAACTTAAAACCTGGCTTAAGACTTGAAAACAAATGAATGCAATTAGTTTCCTTATGCGTTTGTAAAATTATAATTTTTACGTTCCTGCTAAAGATTATTTGTATATAAAGTGTGTCATTCATTATGGCAGGTAATATGTTTATAACTAAAGTTATGCTGGTTTTGGCTCTTATCGTGTCTCAAGAGATTGAAAGCTCGACAGAAGTATCATCCATCAGTGACAGGCGTAAGTAGATATTTCTGATAATTCACATTTGATTCAATATTCAGTACTTTCAGCACATTTATTTACACAGCATTATTATTTCATTAGATAAATATTCACATATTCATACATATCACCTTGTGTGTGAGGTTGCTTTTGATTAAGGCATCATAATTGCAGTCACTGATTATTCCAGCGTTATCGTAAGAGGCGATCTACTAAAGTCTATGATTTGTTTTAGCTACAGTAGGTGGTATTGCTTCAATAAATACTTAGAACGTACAAGTGAAAAAAATACCATAGACTGTACTTAATTTCAGTAAGAATATTTAGACAGACACAGTTATATAATCAATGCTTTGATTTTTTACCAGTGTTTTAAGAGAGTATCTTCACCAGTTCTGAAATTGTCAAATTTGCCCATCAAGAGTGACATGTCAACGTCGTCATATACAGTTGAACAATCTATTTTCAGAGCAGCAAAACAAGAGGCGCCATTGTCCAGCTGGATATATGCATTACGGAAAGTCATGTTATTTACTTACGCCAGAAGTTGTGAAATGGACCGAAGCGTATGTGAGTAAAAAGAGTCCAAAGTAGTGGCTAGTCAGTTGTATCTCTGCGTCCACGCGTTAAGATAATTTTAAATTTTCTATTCCAATGATAAACTATCAGTGAGTAAATTACTTATGGTACGAATTCAATTTTTCAAATAAGAACAAGAATAGTGATACATTTCAAGTACAAATATAATGCAAATCAGTAAAATATCACTACAAAAGATAAAAATCGAAGCCTGTACCAAATACGACTAAGGGTATCGTTTAATTATTTATCCAATAATTTGTAAAGGTTTGCAATGTCCATTTGCACGAGTCATTTACGAATCATACGTCGTCGCTTGAGTTGTGCATAAAAAACGCGGAAAAAGTCATGATGATCGCTCTCTTTTGTAGCAAAGCAATATGCAAAATATAAAACAGACCTTCTGTCGTCAGAAAAAAGTTACCATTGAACGAACATCTAAATATGACTTTTCTGTCGTGATTCCTTTCCGTCGTAACAATAGCTAAACCCACGGAAAAATGAGTCAATCAACGAGAATGCTCCATTTGTATCCCAAACTGACAATGTGGTAACTGGAATACTGGTAACTAATACTTGCTTTCCAGTTATCAGACTGTGCATGCATGTGTATACAATTTGATTCTGACACACTTTCAATAGAAAGGTCTCCAAACTTTGTATCATATATGATATAGATAATAATGCAACACACAATGTAAATAAATGTACAAAAGATATACTATATTGCTTAATATTATTACAATTACCAGAAGATAGACAATGTAGAATTAAATATGCTTTAATGACATCCAATAGGTGAATAAAGATGCAACTTGAAATTAAAAATGTACGATATATTACGAAAGACCGGATGGGACATTTCAACTTTACGATTCCAGCTTCGTGAATTCACGATTTCAGCTTCAGGAATTTACGATTTCAACTTCACGAATTCACGATTTAAAGTCCATGAAGTTATGAATTCACCTTCATGAAGTTGTGAATTCGTAAAGTTGAAATTGTGAAGTTGTGAAGTTAAATTGTGAATTCATGAAGATGAATCGTAAATTCATGAAATTGAAATCGTGAATTCATGAATTCCGTATGTTTCAAGCGTGTATTAAGGAAGTTAAAATTCACGAAGATGTTATCGGGAATTCAAGATGTTGAAATGTCCCCACCGGTCTTTCGTAATATATTGACCGTATTCATTCACTATTTCGTAGGTGTATTGTCAATCGTTTGGTAGTCACCTTGTTTACATTGAGACAGCCTCGGAACAGAAACATATCGACAGTTTTCTGAAATTTGTAAAACGTAAGTTAATCATTTATTTATATATTGTACATAAATACACTGTGTTCCAAATATTGCATTTGATCAGCTTTACAACTACATTGTTTTATCATTATTTGGAATGTTTCTCTGTTAACCATTACCCATTAATTTCTATACGTAGCATTTGCATTCTTTATTATTCGTAAGACATAGTAATGAAAGAATTAAACTTCTTTTACTGAATCCATTTTTGCAGTACTTTCGGCTGGTCGGATTCGCAAATATTGGACGGGAGGTATCGACCGTGTTTCGAAAGGCAGATGGTTCTGGGCACCGGATGGGAAACCTGTCAATGTAAGATAAAGATCTTTATAAAATGGAAATAAAATGTGTTTATCTTCCTCTGTAGGTCCTCTGTATATATTGTCAGTGTATATAAAAATTAGAATTTTATGGACTTGTTATTATGTAAGATTTAAATTTCGCACTATGATAGAAATTGTAGAAAAAAACGTTCCTTCTGATATTTTTGCCTGACTTTTACTTATATTTTTTTTATAATTTAAGTTTACAAACTGGGCCCCACGAAAGCCCGACTCGGGCGTACAAGATTGCATAGCTTTATACGGCAACGGTCAATGGGATGATGATACTTGCGAGTCAGCTCGTAATTTCATCTGTGAGGTAGAGTAAGTATATATCATCATTATATTGCCAGTTTTCTTCACATTGACACTTTATACGAGGAGCGATCCAAAATTTCGTGGACACCCTGCATAAAACAAAGAGTAATAAAGCAAATCACACGAAATTCTAGTATCTTATTAAGTGAGCATATGTCGGCAAATTCTCAAAATATTGTAAAGATTGTACAAGAATTAACGATTCTGCTCCAGTTTATATAGAGGATATTGAATGAGTGTAGTTTAATACTAAATTTATTGAACGAGTTGAATAAAATCATATTATGCGAGCCTCTGGCGAGCATAATATTGTTTTATTCAACGAGTTCAATAAATTTAGTATTGAATCTACACGAATATAATATTCTATTTATCACATAATATAAAATAAGAACAATAAACTGTAAAAAATGAGTAATTTTTTAACGACGCGCCTATAGTGAAACGCTAACATTAGTGCGATTTAACGCTATGTTTCTATATAGTGCAAATGACGTCACGTCAAAGTGGTATTACACTAGTGTAATATCGTTTTTATTAAATGGCTTTATTACACTCCTGCACCGCGGTTTATGTGAAAAATATATATACATGACAATACGCGGCGCAGCTCACGACGTCACAAACGACGTTATGCTATCATAGGAAGTAATCTATAACTTTTCAAAGTATTCCCCTTTAACTCGCACACATTTTTCATGGCGGCTCCAGTCTCTGAATGAACTTGCATACCATTCCTGGCTGATGATGACAGTATGTATTGGGTGGCTCCTCTAAACTCGTCAAGATTGTCAAAACGTCTCCCTCTCAATTCTTTCTTTAACTTGGGAAACAAGGCAAAGTCACACCGGGAAAGATCATGTAAATATTGTGGATGACTGAGTACTTCTGCTCCAAGCTGGATTTGAATGGTGAGCTGTGTGTCCCGGACACGGTGAGCAGGTGCATAGTCGTGGTGAAGAATTAAATTTTCAATAGATTCGGGTCGCTTTTTTCTAAATGTGTGCATCAAATCTCGGCGAATGACCTGTGGACAAATTGAAGATAATCAAGTTGTTTTATATTGTAATGTAACAATCATTAATAAAACATTATATAATCTTTATTTATTCATTTTTGTTTTTATTTACTAATAAAATAGTTATTCTGTAGATTCAAAAAAAAAATTAAATATTACGGTACCTTGGTGGAATAGGCTGCATTGACTGTCTGTCGAGCTGGGACGGCATGACTGAGGAATGGCCCTTTGGTGTCATAAAACACAATAAACATGTCGTTGGCTTAATACTACAAACCCGTATGTCATTTTTTGTCATTTTTAGAAAATCGCATTTGAAAGTTTGAACTGTAATAACTTTTTAATGATAAACCGTATAAAGATAAAATTTTCAGTGAATTTAGAAATCTGTATGTTGTACATATGTACCAAATTTTATTTCTGTGCATACAATTTTAAAGCTAAAATATCAAATAATTAATTTCAATTTTTCATAATAAATAAGAAAATACATACAAATTCTGAATTCTAAAACCCCATTCGAGAGATACATGGTTGTTGACAAAACATTCAGGTCATTTCTACACCATAAAAGCGACATACGGGGTTCTAATTGAAACATTTGAAGCAAATTGACTAAATGTAATAATTTTCGGCTAGAAACATAGCAAAAATTCAAGTAAAAAATATCATTAACTTCTCCTACTGTGTAAAATATTACACGTCTGTTTTGAAAATCAATGCTACTATCAAATGAAATCTACATTAATTTTTCAAAAAGTATGCACTTGTTATGTTACATGTTTATCAACCGTGGGTATTCGACGATGCGTTTCTGTCACATACCTATGTTGCTATTATGTTTCAATTTTTGATTTAGAGTGTACATTAAGTAGATGCTTTTCGTGCTTCAGAAAACAGCGTTGAATCTGAAACAATTTGTCCTGATAGCATCTAGATGTAAACAAAGTGGTATTTTGTCTTCCATTCAAGAACATCTAATAACTATAACTTTTATGGATGATCAAAATGCAAATGTAAAAATGGGTTCAGCTATATAGCTAATGAGTACCCTTTCAAAAAGTGTAAAAACTTGAAAATAAGAAGCTTAAGGGAAATTAACAAAAATAGTACTCATCGAGGCCGTCCGAATTGGTTATCATCCGAATAAATGTAGTATTTACATATGTATCTATTCAATACATTTACTATTAATTCAAAATGATGTAAGAGCTATAAAAACTAAATCATCAATATATGTATATTACATTCAGGTAATATACTATAATTATCTTTAAATAAATCACTAAAAGTTTTTCAAATATTTGGTTGTGATAAGTAGGCAGCCATTACAGATGTGTCATGTATCACGTGGTACAAAATCAGAATGTTTGATTGGACGAGAAGTTACTGGGGTCTAGAATTAAAGTTTGATGTAAATAGCGAGTTACGGGTTTGTGGAATTGGAAATAAACATTTTTATGTTAGTTCTACAACTACATAAGTATGTTCACTGTGAAGAGCTCATTGAGACGAAAAAAATGATATAAAAATCTCAATTTTGCCAAAAATCGAGTTACGGGGTTGTAGAATTAACCCGACGATGTGTTTAGCTGCTGATCGGGATACACGGGCCTTTTTCGGTGGAAGCGATGATTTGTTTTTCCATTGCATAGATTGTTGTTTTGATTCAGGATCAAAGAAAAATAGCTATGTCTCGTCAACAGTGACAATGCGATCTAAAAACTGTTGGCCCTCTTTCTGAAAACGTTGCAAAAAGTTTTTTGACGCCTGAACTCGTTGTTGTTTTTCATCCGCTGACAGCAGTCGAGGGACCCATCGAGCACTCAAATGACGCATTTCTAGCTCTTCAGTAAAAATTCTCTGAACAGTTCCATACGATAAATTTAGATTATGGCTGATCTGCCTTAAACTTATACGCCTGTCTTCATTAATCTTCGCACGCACCCATTCAACAGTTTCCTTTGGTCTCTTTCTTACTGCGCAGGTTCGAAAAAGTCCGCGGAAATGAGGGACTGATTTTGGTGTATGAGGTGATCGATTGTGATAAGCGTGACGATTCCATCATCCCAACACAAGCGGTGTTCTGGTTTTTTCCCTTCTTCCATCCGAAATCGGGCGATGCCGTATCTGTATAAACTAGAGAACGACCCCACTGGGAGAGCGGTAGTTATTGTCACACTTGGTTTCGATCATTTGTTTTTGTCTCGCCACGCGTCTTTCCAAGATTTACACATAACTGTATAACTGTCCGACGGTTTGTTGGATCCGTGGCGTCAATTTTTGATAAAGCTGTTTTAGCACCTGTTCTTTATAGCATGAGCGTAAAATAACCGCAACTTCAAAATGTCTTCTGATACTGACAGAATGACGTCATACACATTTTAACAACGTTATTATAACGTTTCCGCAATTTTTTTTATTGGAACAGTTTTAACATGTGTTTAAATGATATGAAAACGTTTATATCACAGAGAAAAAGTAAGCCGCGCCGCGATTTTGATACTTAATGTTTTAAGGTTATCATATATAGATAAAAAAGCAATAAGTGTTTTGAAATTTGGTCAATTTATTAAAAAAAAACATTGATTAATAGTATCCAAAGAGTTCACCTCGGTAGGACGTCTCATTACGGAGATACACACATTGTCCACGAAATTTTGGATCATCCCTCGTATATATTGATTAATTAATTACTGTCCTCAAATATTTTACAAAATAACGTTATAAGTGGGAGTAGTTAGTTTAAAAAGGGAAAGCGCTGTTCCCAAAAAATATTTCAAGATATAAGTATTAGGAAAGCGTGTTATTACACAGAGACAAACTTTGTCAATAATTGAAAGATAGATATTAAACATTCTTATTTGCAAAGTATTTTAACAATAAAGAAACATATTCTTTTTAAAAAGTTTGTTTTAATTTTTATATAAGATATACACTGGTCATTTAATTGTGAATATTTATTGAACATGCTTGATTTCAGACTGGACTAGACAAAACAAGAGACAGAAATACAGAAAAGAAAGGCAGTCAACAACAACAACTTTTTTATGTTTTTAATATTTTTCCATTTTTTTTTAAAAAATGCCATATTTTGGAAGGGATTTTCAAATTTTAATGCATTTATTGATTTACAAAAACATTTTTTAATTTTGGGGCCGGATTTTTTAAGTCGATAAAAAATGATCGGGAGATTTGAAATTACTTTTTACCCAATTTTTAAAAAAACCCGGGGTGGAAAAAATTGGAAATAATTTAACCAAACCAAACGTTTTTTCAAAATTTTTTTTGGGGCAATCTTTTTGATGATTATTTAATTTTTCCAAATCTTATTTTTGGGGTGTGTTTCGTATGTTTGCGGGGCGAAAATATTGGTTACTTTAAGTGCACTGGGGGCCCGGGAAAAAGGGGAGAGGGCTTTTAAAATTTGCTACTTAATTTTTTCATAATGATAAATTTTACTTTTTTCCATCATAAGTTAACCAATGTTTTTTTTATGGACTAAATATTTTTTTGGATATTTATCAAAAAACCGCGCACAGGAGAAAAAATTAAACCTTTTAAAAAAAACCGAAAATTTCCTGGTTTTATAAAAAATTTGAGTGACGAAATTTTACGTTTATTTTTTAAGAAGCTTAAAGCGGATTTTAATGCTAAAATTTACACTTTGGGCCCGCGTAAATGAAAAAATTCCCTTCTTTTTATCATTTTACCTTTCCCTTATTTATTTTAGGGTGTGATAAAAAAAATATCAATATTCGTGAAGATTAAAATCCCAAATTTTTTGAACTCTTTGAATAAAAACAATATTTTTTTTTTTCTTCCCCCCCCAAAGGTTGAATTTTAAATTTTATTAATTTTTTTTCCCTCGTTTTAAAAATTTTAAGTATAAAAAGTCCCACTCATTCAATTTTCCCCTTTTAAACCTTTTTTCTGGAAAAAAAACTAATAGGGGGGTTTGCTTTTAAATTTTTTAATGTTTTTGCCCTGAAAGTCGTCCTTTTTAGATAAGGAAATCAAAAAATTTTGAAAAAACATGTTTAAATTCCCATTTTGAATTTTTTAAAACATATAATTTCTATTCAAAGGAAAATCTAACATTTTTTTTCCCTTAATGAATACTAAAAGAAAAAATTTTTTTAAAATTTTACATTAAATGCAAACCCATTGGGGTATCAAATAAAAAGAAACGTTTTTTTTTAACATTCCCTCGAACAAAAGGTTAAACACTTAAGTTGGTCATTTGATCATGGCTTACCCTTCTTCCAGATTTTTTACAGTTAAAAACAATGACATAGATAAAGACTAAAAAATGCTATTTTAAAAAAAGAGAAAAAATAAAAATTGAATGTTTCAAAACATTTTTTTTTTTTTTTTTTTTTTTTTTTTTTTTTTTTTTTTTAATTTATCTAAAGCGAAAAAAAAATTTTTAAGGGTTTGGGTTTTAAAGAATTTTACGGTACTAAAAACAGCAGAAACAACTGTCTGGTCTTAAAGATAAAAATTTTTAAAGGGAAAATTTTTGCTTAGACGAAACCCAATCCCCTTTGTTATTAAAAATTTGGGCCCTTTTTATTTAAAAAAAAAAATCCCAAAAATTAAAAACGGGGGGACCTTAACAATTTTCCAAAATTTTGATTTTAAATTGAATGAAAATTTATGGTCCAAAAGGGAAATTAAAAAACAAATTTTTTAAAAGCCAACCCTGTATTTAAAAAATAAAATAAAATACCAAATGGGATGAAGTTGATAAAATTATTCCTCAATAGGGGGTTTTTCCCTTTGTTTCGGGGGGTTTAAAAAATATAATATCGTTCAAATGTTTTCTTGTTTAAAATTGTTTTTATCAAAAGGGAGCTTTCTTAGGGTGGTTGATAAATTTTCATTATTTTTTTAAACATTTGCACGCGGGGATTTTTGTTCTATTGCCCAACTTTTGTAATCAATTTTATAATGGAAAATTCTCGTCCCTACTATATAACTATAAAAAGAAATTTGGGGTTCAAATATTTTGTTCATATAAAAAATTTAACAATAAAAACAGCATTGTTTTTAAGAAAACCCCAATTTTCCAAATAACTTGGAATTAAAATTTAAATATGTTTTTTTTGGCAAAACATTTTTAAATCTTTAAAATTTAAAGGTGAAATAGGTTTTTTTTAGCTCTTAAGTTTTTTCCAAAAACTTTGCGGTCAAAATAAAAAAAAACCCCCAATTTGATAGGGGAATAAAATGTTTCCCAGAAATATAAAAAGCCTCAGCAATTCATCTTGATCATTTTCCGATTTTTAAGGGATCATCAAGGCAGAAGAAAAAAAGGAAAAGTTTTTTCCGGATATGAAGTATCACAGGGCATAGGGTACCCGTTTTTTGGGATTTTAAAACCATACACTGTTTTAAATATAGCCCGGCATACTGGGTTTTTCCTTTGTGAAAATGTCAATTTGAAAAAGCATTATTTGTCCATTAAAACTTTGGCAAAAGTGAATGTAAGAAAAATGGGAAAAGGGCCCGGGAAATTTTACAAAAATTTTTTGTTTTTCTTTTTTTCCAAGTATTTCCATTACACTTTGTCCTTTTTTTTTTTTATTTGGAAGGGACTTTTAAAAAAGGTTTTTTTTTTATTTGTTTGTTTAAATTTTAATTTTGCTTGGCCCTAAACACACTTTAAAAGAAATCATTCGGGGTTTCACCCAAAAATTTGGAAACATATTCTTTTGACTCCAATTTGGCTTCTTTTTAGACCCCCTTCCCCAAAAAAAGATAATTTTTGGAAAACTAAATAAAATTTGCAAAAGCAGTTAATTTTCTTCATATGTTTTTTTTATAAAGATAAAATAATTTAATTTTATTATTAAGTAAAAATATTGCATGGTCGTCCTTTTTTCTTCCTTTTATTCAGCTTCTTCTCCTTCTTTTACCTCTTCTTTTCTTTGTATGTAATGAATGCACTATTTTCAAGTTAATATTTGCCATTTTATTTTCAAATAAAATAGATTTATACATGTAGATTTTTCATTTCATAGACTATCGCTATACCATAATAACGATATCAGGTATTTTCAGCCTTTCACATTATAACAACTATATTGTTTTTAAAATGTGAATAGTTAAACAAAAGTTTTAATTCTTTTTTGAATAAAATATTACAACGTATAAGAAAACAATTTTCAAATTTTATGCACTGATTGGTTAATGTTGATAACTACATAACTGGTACGTACGGTAAGTGCAGAAAACGCCTACGTCATCTTTCAATTCTGTTGTGTCATTTTATGTTCTTCATTACCTTGATGACGCATTAACCGTTTACTCTCGGGAAATTCACTCATATCTCCTGATCCATGAAGATCTATTTGAAATATAAACGCATGCAGGTAAAAACAAATATTTGCAAGGACATTTACTTCATAACATTATGGCCATGTTTAGGATAATGCTTAATTAGATATTGACTTGAGATGCATAATTATAATCAAAAAAGTGTGTTGTTACAGTAAAATGATATGAAAAACAGTGTACATGTAGGTCTTGTTCAAAGATATTGTGTTGTCAGAGAGATAGTCTCTCTTGTCAACAGTGAAAAGGTACAGGTAGACTTGTCGACGTGCAGAATAAATAAAGATAACAGTAAAATTAAGCAAACATTAAATATAAAAAACTAAAATAATAAATGAAGTGAATACGTCTTCTTTTTTTTGTCAACATTTCTGTCATGCTAACCTTGGATGAGATAATGCTAACTGTATGTACTAAGCAATTATTTAAACGCACGTGTGCTATAGATTAAATTAATAAAGTTATATTTTAAGTAAATAAGTTAGGAAGTTAGAATTTTTTATAAAATAATATTGGAAAATAGTGACTGTGCAATTTGTCAAGTTAAATCATCGTGTGCAAAATTGCTAAAGTTAAGTTTTGAAATATCAATATTAAATCACTCGACCGATGTAATGAAGCATCCATAAGAGTGCTCTAGCTTTGGAGATTTAGAGGTAATGGTTTTCGATTCCATGAAAGGTCTTTTACCACCTTATTGATAGTGCGGTTGAGAGTTTAAGGACTATCCATATATTTCCACTATTATTTGCCGGTAGTAAGGTTGATTTGGGAATAGCCTTGAATAAATGGGCGTCACTTCAACCACAACGGTGTATTGTTCTTATCCATTGAAACAGAATGATGTTAATTAATGTGTTTAGTTAACGTGTGCTCCCTGTATCATTAAAGCAACTGTGTGAATTATATCATGTGCATGGGATAGAACGTCACCAGAGTCGTAATCGTCGTCATTGAATAAGTATGTGCTTTAGTCGACTGTATGACGTCAGTTGGATATCGTCGTCATCAATAAGTCTATATGAATAGGAAAGGCATGGTCGCCAATTTCACGAAACATCTCGATCACTACACACTCTCGTGTCACACGAAATTCACCAAAATGTTTTCCTTAACAGGACGGCCTTGTTCTCGGTCGAAATCTTGTACAAATATACCTAAATTTAATAGCATATTAAATAACAATTAAACAGTGATATTCTTTTTACAATTAACAACTTAACAACACCCCTTACACTTGACTCAAATTAAACATAATAACCTTATCATTGTTGTAAAATAGATACATGTATTTTGTAAGTGGTAACAACAAAATGATAATTTAATAGTGATGCATTTCCGCTCAAATGCAATATTATACACTGCTAGCGTTTCTAGCTCGTATTTCTTAAGGATGATCTCTTTCTTATAAAGTAACGTGCAACTGTCATATAAATCCAGATAGAATGACATTATTCCAGACAAGTGATAATACAAATAATAAGCATAATTTGTAAAAGAAAATTTGATTGAGCCTCTTCACGAACAAAAAAATCTTTCACTTGGTGTAAGCTAGGTTGGTTATGTTTTCAGCATTCAAAAAATGTCATACTGGCACTTTTCAAATGCTACTAGTAATTCGCTTTACAAATTCAGGTGTATTTCAACAAAGAACATAAAGGTTTTTTCACACATCTGTAAGACTAATGTTGAAATTGCT